AAGGGAGGGAGGGAGGAAGAGAGGAAGGGAGGGAGGGAGGAAGAGAGGGAGGAAGAGAGGGAGGGAGGAAGGAAGAGACAGATCTGTATCTGAGAATGTAAATTTGTGTCAAAGATGGCTTATGTTATCTGGGCTACATATCTGAGGACATATGAAAGTTAATCCGAAGATATGGCTATGAGAAGCTGAGTGATTGTTTAACCATGGTCTTTGTATCTGTTAACCTTAGATACTGCTTCATGTAACAGAAAAAAAAAAATGATTGCTATAAAAAACTGAACATCGGCCCTCCCTGGTGGCACAATGGGTTAAAGCACAGCATTGCAAACTAACCGCAGCCACTGCAATGCCAGTGCAACCCCAGCCCCAGAGGTGATCCTTATGGTGCAACAGACCTCTCCTGACCGCCTACTGCTCCTCTCAGCAGTGTATTTCACTGGATCTGCCTGTTCTGCTCCCCACTCATGAGTTTTATCCCTTTCCTGGCATGGGAACTAACCGACATGGTGCAGCATGGTGTCTCACCTGCTGCTTCCCTCAGCAGTGTATTTCAGGAGATCTGTAACAGGGTGGTCCCCAGGAAAAGGGAAGGTTCCAGGTTCCCTGCCCCACCAAGGACCACCCTGTTACTGCCCCTCTGCACTTCTGGCCTACCCTCCAGTTGTTGTATGTATAACTAAAAATAAATATTTGTTGTTGTTGTTAAAGAATCCCCCACTAGCTCTTTGTTAAAACTCACTAATGCCATTGATATCACCTGCGGAGCTTTCCAAAACATACAGAAGACTATTTTCTACCCCAGATCTGATGAGTAACAATCATAATCGACTGGCATTTATATGCCAGGCGTGCACTAAATGCTTTGTTGTATATTTTCCTCACCTAATGCGCCCAACAACTTCATGAGTTGTTTTTATTCCTTCACAAGAGATCAAGAGTTTGTCTAAGTCACTGAGCTGAGCTAGGGAGCCTGGTCATCGAAGTCCAGAGTTCTAGTTCTCAACTGCAGGACCTTCTCAGGTCTGAATCTCTGCGTGACTCCAACAGATGAATCCTCAGAGCGGACTGGAGTCTGCCTAAGGCGCACTGCGCTATCCACTTCTCGCATTCGCTGGCCAGGGAGCTCTGGGTGACCTGCTGGAGGCTGGGGTGGGAGTGGCGGGAGTCGTGGGAAGCTCAGAAATTCGAGGCGCCCGCGGGGACGGGGAGCCGAGGGAGCACGAAGCGGCTAGTGGTCCGCACGCCGGTCTTCCCTGCCGTCGGGTTTCGCGGGGGCCCAGCCACCTGCAAAGGCGGGGCCGAGGACCCGAGCAGCGGGAGCCCTGCGGCCGCGGCAGGAAGTAGGCGACGGGCTTCCGGCGCGCGGAGTTGACGCGCGGCGCGCGCTTCCGCGTTGGGGAGCCGCCGGCGGGTCCCGGGAAGCGGAGACCCGGGGTCCCGGCTGCGGGGCGGCCCGCGGGCCCAGGGCGGGATGCACCGCCGCGGGGTGGGAGCCGGCGCCATCGCCAAGAAGAAGCTTGCTGAGGTGAGGGGAGAAGCCCACCCACGGCCACCCAGGCTCGCGAGGGGCGAAGCCTCGGAGCAGAGCTCTGTACCCTCAAATCGCCTTACGTCCGAATCTGACAGTCTTCGCCTTCCCGGGGAACTGAGTTTCTCCTGCTTCCGGTGGATTGGAAAGTCAGCACCCCCAGACCCACCAGCCAACACCCTCACTTCCCAAATTTGACTACAGACGAGTCTATCGACTTCCTCATCCCTCTCCCTAAGAGAAGCTATTTAAGAGCGACCTCCCTCTTCTCATACTTCAGCTGAGTCATGAAGTATGAGGCAGCGCCCACTCCCAACTCACGCTGGTCTCTTTGTCTGACAGGCCAAGTATAAGGAGCGAGGGACTGTCTTGGCCGAGGACCAGCTGGTGCAGGTGAGTCTGTCGGTGGGCCTCAGGTAGGGAGACCCGCCAAGGTTGGAAAGGCCACCTTTGATGTAAATGAGACGTTTGGATCGAACTGAACGTAGGGTCCATGGCAAGTCCACCCCATTTCTGGGCTGCTCAGGTCTTTTCGGTGGCTTGCTAGTAATAATGATAGTGACTATCTCTGGGCAAAGACCTGCTTATAGCGTTCCAGGCGTTTGTCCATTTTCTTTACATACATTATATTCTTTCCTCCTTACAATCCTACAAGGAACTTTATTCTTTCCAATTGGGACTTGAGACTTGCTGTTGGGTAATTTATCCCAGGTCACGTGGGGGGGTACTTTTAAATGTCTAAGGAGAACATAAAAGTACTGCTCCGCAGTCTCCTTCTCTAATGCTTCCTTTTCTGCACATGCTTTGGTTAATGCGGTTGTTACTGGTGAAGGTGAGGAGGAAGTGAGGGCCCTGGAACTGAGGAGAGACACAGGCTCTGCTCTTCAGAAGTTCCCATTCAAAGAAGTAGCAAGTGGAAGTTTCTAATACGTAGCAAATGAGGAAATGTTGGACCAAGAGATAGGCTTTGTTATTTAGGGAAAGAAAAGGCATACACAAATAGGAAGCCAGAAACTCTCTAAACCATTTGTATTTAGCTTTAGAATGTCATCTGCTACACCCACATCCTCCATTGGGAATTCTCTAATTGGATTTACTCCCGGGGATGTCCACGACTCAGAGATTAAACAGCCACTAAATACCTAGTTTATGCCAGGTTTCCTTTTTCTCCTAACCTTCTGTCAGTGGCTCAAAATTTCCCACTGCATGAATGATGAATTCCCAGTTTAAGACTAAATGGATTTTTATGTGCTCCTTCAGTTTAGTAACCATGTTTTGGATATTTTATTCTGGAAAAAATAAGAAGCACCACATTAGATGTGCACATTGTGATGCACTCTGACTTTACAACAGGAACTTGTGAAAAGAAACTGAGGAAACACTACCGCATTTAATTTCTGCTGACAATAGAACTGTGAGGGCGAGACAGGGATAAAAAGAATGGGAACAGGGCCCTCCATTGGCATAGCGGGTTAAAGCACGGTACTGCAAGTAAGCCAGCCGCTTCAGTGTGAGTTCAATCCCCAGAGGTGACCCACGTGGCATGGCAGACCTCTCCTGACCCACCCACTCCCCCCCCTCAGCAATGCACTTCACTTATCTGCCTGTCCTGCTCCCCACTCTGTCTCTAGTGAATCCTCTCACTGCCCCTGCGCCTCTGGCATGCACCCTAGTTCTGTATGCATAAATAAATAAATATATATATATTTTTAAAGGAATGGGAACAGTAAACAGCATAATGATAGGCCTGAAGGAGATAGGTTACTTCAGCCTACCTCTGGGCCAGACACCTGTTTTTGGCATTTGATTACCACCTGGCTTGGCTGCCCCAACTACCCCCTTGTCCATCTGACAGATGTCAAAGCAGCTGGACATGTTCAAGACCAACCTGGAGGAATTTGCCAGCAAGCACAAGCAGGAGATCCGAAAGAATCCTGAGTTCCGGGTACAGTTCCAGGACATGTGTGCCACCATTGGGGTGGATCCTCTGGCCTGTAAGTTGTCTGTCGGGGTCCAGTGTTCTAAGGCTCCTAAGGGACAGAAGCTCACTTGGTTGTCATTACTACTGTTGTGGTATCTTCAGAAGGGCCTGTAGGGCCTTGCTGGTGGTGCCAGGGAGCTGACCCACATGGCGCGGCAGACCTTTCCCGTCTCACTCACTGCCCCCCTCAGCTGTGTATTCCAGTCGATCCGCCTGTTCTGTTCCCTACTTAGCTCCCCACTTATCTCTGGTGAATCCTCTCACCACCCCTGCACCTCTGGCCTACACCCCAGTTCTGTATGCATAAATCTGTCAGTCTTTAAAAAAAAAACAGAAGGGCCCGCAGGGTGATCCAGAAGATGGCGGTCTTTAGGGAGCGCCTGGCAGGATGAGTGCATGCCCCTTGTGCTGGGGACGATGGAGACACTGTGAAACAAGCTGACTAGCCAGTGTACATGGTGTGCTTTGAGTGATCTATAGCATAATTTTGTATGGTTTCTCCTTTATTTTAAAAAATAAAAACACATCAACAAAAGAAAAAGTTAGGAGTGTCCTGACCCTGACCCATAATTATAAAGGACTGTTAAATAACGTCTGTCTCCATAGATATCTTCATTGTATGTACACTTCTATGGGGTTATGCTGCAGTCACACTCTAACCTGCATTTTTCATACAATAATGTGTTGTCTCCAGTGGATTTTTGAGGGCCTATTCTCTCTTAGCCTTGTCTAGCCCACATGTCCCATTATATTTCAGTGTATGCTTTGGGAAGGGAAACTAATTTTTATAATACCGAGCCAGAACTGGTGGCCACATGAAATGACTTTTTGATTGTCCACCCTTTTGAACTGTCTGTGCTGTTCTTAGCAGAAATTATTGGTCAAGGTTAGATTGTGTGGAGGATCAAGTCAGAAATAGAGCAGGAGTTACGGCAAGGCAGGGAAGACTTCCCATAGGGTGGATGTTTTGAAAGAAAACATGTAAACTGATGAGTAACCTAGCTTTTGCTTTTCTTTCAGCTGGAAAAGGATTTTGGTCTGAGATGCTAGGCGTGGGGGACTTCTATTATGAACTGGGTGTCCAGATTATTGAAGTGTGCCTGGCCCTGAAGCACCGGAATGGAGGTGAGAGTGGGATTCACGTGGACTAGAATTTGAATTTACCTGCGTGGGAGAAAATTCTGAAAGGTGTTCTTTTTCGTCCTGCAATCCGTAGGCCAGCGTGGTCTTGAGAAGCTATTAGGTCTTGAGAAATCCTAGTTGCTTCATGCATGGCAGGTCTCTGTGGCCAACGGTAAATGGAATTGCCTGCAAAGATCTTTGACCAGAAAGGTGTTGCCCCTCATCGTTATAGAATTGGTAGGGAGGAGGAAACAGGCATTGGCATATGATGTGCTTAAGCTCTGATTTTCTCAATAGTGACTGTAGGCCTGGCCTGCCCCTCTAGAATGTGACAGCACTGGTTCTCTGTGCTCCCCAAAATATGACCTTTAAAATGGTCATTTGCACAGTTCATGTTCTGTGTTGAAGACAACTTAAAACCTGTTATAAATTATGAATAAAGCCTTGATGTCAAGCACATTTATAGTTTTTAGAGGTGGTACTGCCTTGTTCTGTCAGCCATAAAGGTAATCCTTCATTTGTTTTCTGTCCTTCCACCTCCAATAGGTCTGATAACTCTGGAAGAACTACATCAACAGGTGTTAAAAGGAAGGGGCAAATTCGCCCAGGATGTCAGCCAGTAGGTCTTACTTCCAACCCCTTGGAGTATAGAAGTCTTTAAAATCAAATGGAAATCTTTTCTCTGTGCCGCTTGCATGTCCCCGGCAGAAATCATTTTTGCTCATATGATCAGGAAAAAAAGATCTTTTATTTTGGAAAATTGAAAGTACAAAAAACCCAAAACTACTCATTTTTCAGTGGAGAGATTTAGCATTAAGCATTTTTTTCTTTACATGTAATTTTTAAAACTTGTATGAGGTCAAGGAGAGTAGATCAGGCACGGAGAAAAGCTGGGGAAGGGACTATGGGGTATGTATTGACTTGGTTCACCTGCTTCCATGTATGACTCCAATTTGATAAAAAGGTAAAAGACTGTCGGTGTGGGGGCTAGCTATATTGATCTGTGAGTTTTCTTTTTACCTAACTTGAGTTCAGAAATCAGAAAGTTTGGATTGGGTTTGAGTTTCCACGTGGTAATAATCAGCTAGGTTGCCAGCTTTGAAATGGATCTAGAATGTGATAGCACTGGTTCTCTGTGTGCCCCAAAATATGACCTTTAAAATGGTCATAAGCACACTTTATGGTCTCTGTTGCACTCTATGTTGCCATAATTCATACTATTCCCTGTTGCCTCTAAATTCAGCTCATTCACATGATGCCTTTAATTACATGTTAGTATATAATAAAATGCTGTTCCGTGTGGCTCAGCCTTTTGAGCCTTCTGTCGGGAAATCCTGCCCAGGCCAGAACTGAAACTGCATTGTAGCTAGGCCTTGTATACCCACATGAAATCTTTAAGCAACTCTTCCTTACCTCAGAGACGACCTGATCAGGGCCATCAAGAAACTAAAGGCACTTGGCACTGGCTTCGGCATCATCCCTGTGGGCGGCACTTACCTCATTCAGTCCGTTCCAGCTGAGCTCAATATGGATCACACCGTGGTGCTGCAGCTGGCAGAGGTACTGATGTGCCTTCTGAGCATGGGTGAGGGCCAGCGGGCCGGGAGGGGATTCTGCTGCAGTGCTGATTTCGGCGTCAGTCAGAGCATGTCTAAGGGATGTACTCAGACCTGTGCTTATTTAGCAGACCTTTATTGGGCAGCTACAGTGCAGATTCCTGGGCTAGCCTGCGGGCCATGTA